GCCTGGGCAGGAAAGAGATTTTTATCTTCAACTAACCACCAAAAAAGCTAGAAGTAGGTATGTGGCTCAAGTGGTAAAGCACTAGCCTTGAGCAAAAAAGCTTGGAGGCAGTGCCCAAGTTCAAGCCCCAGGACCAGCACAAAAAAAAAAAAAAGGAGAAAAAGGCACATGTTTTGTATTACTTTCAGAATATCTGAACTGAATAAAACTCTAAACTAAACACAAACTTTGACAGGGTTATCCAATCACAAAGGCTTGAGTGTAGAGAAAACAGAGAACTCTTGAGACTCATTCAGAAAACCTACTGTTTCCTAGATCTTACTACATCTAATTACCAAGTCATATGTTAAATTAAAGAGTGCATCACAGGGCTGGGAAGGTGGCTTAGTGGTAGAGCGCTTGCCTTGCATGCCTGAGGCCCTGGGTTCAATTCCTCAGCACCACATAAGCAAAAAGAAAAAAACCGAAAGTGGTGCTGTGGCTCAAGTGGTAGAGCGCTAGCTTTGAGCTGAAGAGCTGAGGGACAGCGCCCAGGCCCAGAGTTCAGGCCCCATGACCGGACCCAAAAAAAAAAGCTCAGTGCCCAGGACCTGAGTTCAAGCTTCAGGACTGACATAAGAAGGAAAAAAAAAAAAAGAGTGCATCACAAAATTCTTAGCCTATAAACTATGTTAATGAGCTTTTGTAAAATGTGATCTGCTTCCCATGGAAATTAAAAACAAATGGGGAGACCAGGAGTAGTGAAACATGCCTATAAGCCCAGCACTCAGGAGGCTAGGTCAAGGCTACCAAGTTCTACTAAACCTCATAAGATCTTGACTCAAAGAAAAGTGGGAGGAAAAACACTGAACATAAAACTAACTCCATCCGTTATAATGAAGTAGTTATCTACTTCTTTCATTTCTACTTTAGAAAACATGCAAAAGATATACTATTGTACACCTATCCATCAATTAAGCTAGTTATTAAACCATTCTCATATAAAAATTTGAGTAATGACATTATTCTAAGAAAAAATATTTTCTCAGAGCATTCACAAATCTTAACCCAGTTGTGATCAGCTTCTGAGCAAACGCAATCTAGACCTGATAACATATTCCTAGAGAATATGGAAGACATACTATAAAGATTTTTCTCCCCAAAATTCCTCTTCCCACACCCATCCCAAGCCTAAAAAATGTATTTTTCTAAACTCCTCCACAGTATGCAGCATTATCACTCATGTATTGACAATTCACTCTTTTACCTAAAAGAAATTAAATACCGATCTCCAAACTCCAATTGCGAAGTACAATCAAATGGCATCAGCCATCTTTCCAGACTCAAGAACCAGTATCCACTGACCTGTCACAATGCACAGTTCCTGGACCCCTTAGCCACCTGACTGCTCCTTCTGCAAGGGTGGGTCAGGAAAGGCAGGAGAGTGCTCACTATCTCATAGGCAATCCTTTTGTTGTAGAAAGGGTTTCCACTTGAGACTGCCTGAAAATCCAGCTTTGGTCTTTCCACTGCAGTTTATGACCGTCTGCATCATAGCCTTGGAATACCATGTTTTCCAGAAATGAGTAAAACTCTTCTGATACTATTTGACATAAGGATAACGGGGCTTCTCAAATATTTAGAGACTCTTCTGTAAATTCAGCTTAAGACTACTCTAGGCAATTACTTTCTCAAATACTTGTCATTTTTAAATGACTGGTCCTCACCTTAAAAGCCCTAGTTTCACAATATTCACAATATTCACAATATTCAGAATTTAACCACACTTTTATCTAATTTTTAATGCTAAAGCAAAAATAGAGAATGTGGAAATTACAAGTTTTTTGCACACACACATTAAGAGTCAGTGGTAGAATGCTTGCTCCATATGACAAGGCCCTGGGTTCAATTCCAAGTTTGGAGGGTTGTAAGGGGAAGTCTTGGCCAATATTCAAGCTGAATGGGACCTGCAAATAGATTTCTTGGAAGGACATCTCCACACATACATGCATAAGTGTGCAAGTACAACAAAAGCACAGATTCACTACAATCAATTGAAAACAGAAATTAGATTGACTACATTCATCACCTAGTTATTCTACATACTAGACTTCAAAAATCTTCCCACAGGACTCCCCCAATGTTACAACAGATAGGTGAGAGGTTCAACATGGTGTCTTTAAACTCTGTAGGCTCAATTTTAAGGAGTCACACTGGAGGAACTGGAAACCATTTTCAAAACTCTGGAAGGCTAAAAACAGGCCTGAAAAGCTAGTCTCTAAACTCTCATCTGCTACAAAAGTTGCATATCTCCTCAATTCTAAGACATATAAAATCATTAGGGCTGTGCACAAGTGGCTTTGGCTTATGCTTGTCATCCTGGTTACTTGTCATCCTAGCTACATAAACTGAGACCTGAGGATTGAGGTTCAAAGCTAGCCTTGGCAGGAAAGTACATGAGATTCTTTCTGCAATTAAACAACAAAAACCCAGAAGTGAAGCTGTGGCTCAAGTGGAAGAGCCATAGCCTTGAGCAAAAAAACTAAGGGACAGTTTCAATACCCTGAGTTCAGGCTCAGGTACCAGCACCAAAAAAAAAAAAAAAAGATTATGGGAAAGGGAAAATAGAAAAATACCAACATATTAAGAGGCCACAATGCAAAGTGGTCCTCCTAAAATCTACAACTATGAAAATTATGCAACTTAAAATTGAAAATTAACAAAGGTGTCTGCGTCCCTGTAGCAGAAGCATACACTGCCTCAGGTTGGAACTAAGGCCTCCAGAGCTGCTAAAGGTATACAAACCCATTTTAGCACTCTACATTTAACAAATCTATAGTTAACTTTGTAATTTATTTTCCTACCACTTAGAATCCAACATTCCTAAATTGAAAGCAAAGACTGTCTAAAATCTCTAAGTCTGTAACAAACTACATAAACAAAGATAAGTTAACAAAAAAGTAGTGTTATTATTTAGGTCAAGGATCAAATACAAGTTGTACCAATGTTTATCTAGAGCCACAGGTGAGGCCTCCTCCCAGCCTCAGAATGGGTATCTTGCTCCTCCTTTCATCCTCATCTAGGGAATTGTCCCAGATTATAAACTTTCTAAATGTTTGGGGGGTTGGGGGGGGAAGGTTTAATGCTGCCCTTGGGAAAGGATTTCAAAAATTATTAAAATTACACTTGGTTTATCTAAACTAATCTTGAGTATTTTTACAAAAAAAAATTACATGCTGCTTTTATAGAATGCGTTTATGTATATATTTATATCATACATATTTTTTTCTAGACTCCTCTGTAAAAATGGCCTAAGACAGTTCCAAGCAACTACCTTCTCAAATGACATTCGCATACATATACAGAAACACACACACAAACTATACAAACAGCATGGTAAAGAAAATGGTTTTAGTCAACATACTTGAAGCTATGCTAATCAAGGAAAAATCCAGTCTTCATTTCCAAGATTTATGAATGAGCTAATACTACGCACCTAGATCCTGCCTCTTTGGTAATCACCTGCCGCTTTCTAAAACAAGGAAGGTAAATTTCAGTAACATTTCCCAGATTGTGAATCATTGCCTAAAAAGCAGAATCATAGGGCTCAAACACTTCTATCTAAAAATGTTCTGTTTTTAATAAAGTGCCCCTCCATAGTTCCAATCCTTTTTTAAAAGGTGCATTTCCTCCTAAGGAAAGAGGAAGGTGGAGATAGAGGGGTATCAGAGGCAAAACAATGCAATCTTCTTCCCCAAGGCAGGGACCAAGCTTAGGGACACAATGGCATGCCTGGCCAGCCTCCCTGTACCCCATCCAACGGGCTGGCGTCCCTTCCCAGCCAACCCTGTGAAAAACATCCTTCCTAACCACCTCATGCTAGTGACTGCTTGGGGGTTTCCACGGAGCCCAAGCTTAAAACCGAATCAAACTGAACTGGTCATACTCTTCTAAAATGTTTGATTCAAACAAAACGTGTTCACGTTCCCCAGCGCCATACAGAAGAAGGCTGTTTCCAAAGTTCAGACACAAGATTATCTTCTTATACCTGGTTTTTCTTTTTTTTTTTGGGGGGGGGGGGGGTGGTAAATAGCGTACAGCACACTCTCACACTCTACATTACCGAATTCTCGGAAGGACGGGGATTTCGGCGACGACTTGAGGAGTGCAAGACCCAGAACAGAGGGCGAAGTGCTGCCTCCAGCCGCCGGCCTCTGTGCTGGACCACGCCGCCGCCAACACCTGAAGGGAACCGGCTGCTGGTTCGATAACCATCCTCCACACCTGGAAGCCCCTACCTCAAGATCAATCAAAAGCAGGGGGGGGGGAGGGAAGGAAGAGGAAGAGAGGGAGGGGAAGGGAGGGAGGGTGTCTTCGAAGAGGCGCAAGCCAGGCAACAACTTGGATGAATGAACCTGGGCTAGGGGCACGGGGGGCAGGGTATTCGCTGAAGTCAAAAACAAAAAGCAGGAGACGTCCAGGATGCCTGCTTGGTAACGGGAGAGCGGGGTGAGCGGGCGGAGTAGATCACGGCACACACACGCTCTGGAGGAACGTTTTATTGAGCGCCGACGTTGCCAAGGCGGCCGGAGGGCGGGCGGCGGGCGGGCGCGCGGCGGGGCCGGCGACGACGAGGCTTCACGGGCGCAGGTCGGAGCTGAGCTGGGCGCTCTCCCGCGTGTCCTCCCGCGGACCTTCCACTGGACTCCCGCGGGCCGGGGCTCGGGCCGAGGGCCGGCCCCGCCCCGGGTTCCGGGGCCCCCCGGGCCGGGCACACCCCTCCCGCGGCCTCCCGCTCTCACGCGCGGGCACGCCCCCGCCTCCCGCGCGCACGCGGCCGAGCCCAGCCGGCGGCCCCCGCCCCCGCCCCCCCGCCGCCCGCACGGCCTCCGCGGGGCCGCGCCGGGAGGACCCGGGGTCCCCGCCGCCCGGAAGCGCGGACACCGGGCGGCCTAGCTGCGGCGGGTTCGCCCGCCCGCCCGCCCGCGCGGGAGGACGGGCTCTGAGGGAAGGTCACTTACCCGCTGCATGGCTTTCAGAATCAAAGCCAGCTCGTAGCGGGGCATGCCCGAACGCTCGGCGCGCGGCTCCGAAGCGGACCGGGTCCCCCGGTGCGAAGGGGCGGGGACGCGGGTGCGGGCCCGGGGTTGCGAGGGGAGGGAAGGGTGGGAACGCGCCGGCGGCTGAAGCGGACGGCTCCCGGGCGGCGGCGAAAGCACGCTCCGGCCGCGCGAGCCCGGGCTTAAAGGCTCCGGCAGCTGCGCAGTGGGGGCCACGCCCCCTCGCGAGGCCACGCCCCTCGGCCCGCCTCCGCCGCCACGCTTTCTACCTAGGGCTCTCCAGCCCCTGGAACTTTCCATGCCTTGCGTCTCCTCCCGGGCGCCGGGCGGCCGTGTGCGCGTGCGCCGCGGTGCGGTCTCGGTCCGGCGCGCGCTCCTGGTCGCGGCGCCCCCCGCCTCCCGGGCGCGGAGCCTCCTCGGCGGGCGACGTGGGGGGCGCGGCGGGACCTGGGGCGCTCCCCGGCGCTCTCGCCCGCTCGCCCTCCCTCCCTCCACCCCCTCTGCCTTTCTCCCACCCTCTCCCCCTTCTCCCCTCTCCCTCCTTTCTCTCTCCCCTCTCTCCTTTCTCTCCTCCTCCTATCTTCTCCCCCCTCCCCTCTCCGTCCTCTCCCCCTCTTCCTCTCCTCCTGTCTGTCTGTCTGTCTTTATTTCTCTGTGTGTCTCTCTCTGTCTGTCTCTCTGTCTCTCTCTGCTGGTGACCTTGGGCAGGTCGATTTGGGGACCGTGAGGGTGGGTGCCTTTGAGTGAACTGAGGCACATACACCTCCAAGTGCAGCGTGCCTGGAGCAGAAGGAAGGGAAACAGGGCTCCCTCTCCCTCCAGCCCCCATGCTGTCTCCCTCGCTGGCTCCTTAACCACTGAGGCTCCTGCCAGGGCTCCCTCTGCTCTTGCTGACCCATTAAATGGGTCTGGAAGTGAAATGTTTGTCACCCTTAAAGTGGCTTTAATGATCATCGTAAAAATTTATTGAGCACTTACTCTGTGTCAGGTACCATGCTAAGGCTGTTAGGGTGTCTCATAAAATTCTAAACAGCCACCCTATGACACAAGCACTATTCCATTTTAGGCATTAGGAAATAGAAAAAAAAATAAGTACCTCGTTCATACACACGGTGGGAGGAACAAGTACGTATCTGGACTACCAGAAGGCTGTGCCCCCTCTTAGGCATCTGTACCGCCTACCTTCTATTATCTCTATTAACACCAGTAGCCAAGGTCAAGATGCTGGTCTGCCCTCAGTGGGTTTAACCATGTGTGATGGCGCATAAACCATCTTACCATTACAGCTCTGCAGAAACAAAGAACAAAAGGAAGGAACTTGTGGATCTTCAGAAGTGAATCAGATTTGTTTAGGATGGTCCAACCTCAGCTATCCTTCCTGTTGTCAATTTAGGTTAACACCCAATTTCAGAATGAGAAAATAGGAAGCCAGCATTTATATGCCAAGCCAAACACCGAGGCAATACTATCAAATGACTTCAATTTGGAGCATTTCTTCTTAGAAGGCTTTGTGTGCTCACCCACACCATCACTTCTTTTCCCACAAGCATCCTAGTCAGGATCTCCGCTGCGGTCTTGACAGTCTCATCTTTGCCATCCACGACCTGTACTCTTTGGTCCTTCCTTCATCTCTATAGTCCCCATGGACTGATTCCTTTTGCCCTTTCGGTCCCAGAACATGGCAGTTGTCCAAAGTAAGAATACATCCCTTTGGGAAAGAACACCAACATAACCTGACTGCTTGTCATTCAAACACAGTGATGTTTGGCTCTGAAGAACTTGCTTTCATCTTTTCTACCAGGATCCCAATCTATGCAACAGTATTGGTGGGCAGTGAAAAGCATATAAAAATGAGTGATCTCCTTGTCTGTAGATAAGCAATCTGATAAGGAAACCAGGTAAATTATTATCTACCCCAAGTCACACAGCCCTGGAATTACACAAATAAGAACAAAAATAACTTTTGGTTTACCAGATTGTTCTTCCTATCCACGTGCTCTGGGCTCTGATGTTGGTTTTGTCAGTGCTAATGGATAAATCCATAGGGTGCACAATCATCCTGGCTCTTAAAAGCTGAGTTCCAAATACCACTGGAAGAAATAAAGATAAGCACAAAGCTTTCTGCTCATGTGTCTCTGAATACACCTCTCAGGAAGTGGAGAAATAGCAAAGTTTTCAATTAATGGAAAAAATGATTCTGCAGCAAAACTGTCATATTCTAAACTGTCATCACTGTCCTCTGCTTGACACCTGTCCCCTCAAGAATCGGAGCATCCATTAATGTCGAAGTTCCTATCACTTCCTCACCCTCACTTTTCTGATATGTTCCACACAGATCACTGCCCCCCAGGACCTGTGCCTATAAAGGCTGGTGTCTCTGCCTGGCAGCTGTGGGTTCTTAGTCAGTGGCCCAGATGGAAGTCACAGCATTGCAAACTCATTTTACCTGTCTTACTAGTGAATTTACTAGTCACTCCTCAACCTCTGTATGTTTGTTCCCTCACCCCTCCTTCCAGATCTTCTTTGTCTTTGATTCTTCTTTTCTCTGAAAACACTAGGTAAGAAAAGACTAGGAGTAAGAATAGGTACTACCTACCTCTAAGTACTACCTAACACTAAGTACTACCTAGCTGTAGGTACTACCTAACTCTACTGCCTAGGTACCACATAACTCCAAGTGCTACTTACCTCTAGGTACCCCTGGTCTAACTCAAATCCCATGTGCTTTTTCATTTTGCACTCCTTAGGGACAGGCATTTGGGGAGGAGTTTTTAAATGCTTTCTCTCTTTTAATCTGCCAGTTTCCAAAAAATTTTTAAATGTTTGATCAAAAAAGTTTTGGAGGGAGGAAAGGCTCAAACAGGAGCCCCACCTGTAAAACAAAGTGGGGGAAGAAAATGTCTCTAAAATATTATTTTCACCCCTGTCCTCACTCTTCCCTGCCTAAAAAATAATAATAATAATTTATGGGATGTTCATACTACATTCTCCTTAGCACATCCCTTTTATTTTATTGGAGAGTCTTAATATACTTCTTAGATCTAAGACTAAAGAAAAAAGACAATACTTCCTGTGTCCCCACTTGGTAAGGTTTTTTCTTTTCTTGTAATAGTATGGTAAAGTGTCCTCCAACAACCTGTCACAGGCCCACAACATTTAACATTGATGTTAAATGTCAATAACGTTAGAAGTATGAAACAGCTTTGTGTTCAGAATCCAGAAGAATACATGTGGAAGCATTTTTGTTTCAGTAGAAGGAACAAAGCTGGAGAAGGATGCAAGCAGATGAAACAGCATCTGCCAGCTGATTCCAGGGGCGGGGCTTCCTGGGCCAGGTGCTAAACAAAAGGCCCCAAGAGGCCCCTGCAAATAAACGGTGGAGCAGTCACTCTGGCTACAGCTAGAGAAGTGCTTCTGGGCCCAGGATGCTCAGCACAAAGGGGTTTTAGGGCTAGAGGTAGAGAGACACAGGAGATGGAGACTGTGTGCCTGCAGAACACGTCAGAACAGCTCAGAGAATGTTTCATCAGGCTAAACACAGGGATGGTGGGTTCCAGGGGTTGAAGAAAGGAGTGTCGGGAGACCCAGCATGTCGAATTTGGGGCCTGACGAAGGGGATGTCTGAAGCACTGCTAACTGGACAAGTATCAACCTTGCTGGGTCTTGAGTTTCTTCTCAAATGTTCTGAACCTACTTTCACTCTGGCCACAACCACAGTTCTTATTTCCTCATCTCTTAATTCCTAAGACTTATAGTATAATTCATTTGATTCATTCTCCACATGTTTCATCTTCATAAGTCTTCTAGCAAGATTATAATCTTCTGATGTGTGTAAGTATACCTTTAATTGAGCTAAAATCTTTCTTCAGGACTAAACCAAGGCAAGGAAGGGAGATATTCTCACAGCCTGCACTGGGTTCACAACCTAAATGACCCAGCCTTTTGGGCAATGTTGATAGAGGGGGTCATGACCAGCAGCCAATACTTCGTGGTAAGAAAGGCACTGTATACGAATTGTCTCAAAGTTCAGTATCTATGAAGATCATCCCACAGCTGTTGCCGAGACTGATTGGAACCAGTCCTATTGTCTAACAGGGAAGAAGGTCTTCCTTATGATCAGATAGAATGAAACAGAGGTTCAGTAAAAGGTGTAAATCCGCCGGGCGCTGGTGGCTCACGCCTGTAATCCTAGCTACTCAGGAGGCTGAGATCTGAGGATCGCGGTTCAAAGCCAGCCCGGGCAGGAGAGACCGTGAGACTCCTATCTCCAATAAACCATCAGAAAACCGGAAGTGGCGCTGTAGCTCAAGTGGTAGAGCGCTCGCCTTGAGCTGAAGAGCTGAGGGACAGCACCCAGGCCCAGAGTTCAAGCCCCATGACCGACAAAAAAAAAAAAAAAAAAGGTGTAAATCCCACAGGCACCAAATTATACCCTAACGTGTGCAGCACACTTTGGCTCTGAGCCAAGTTTGCTTTTCCCAAAACAGAACTGTGTCCTTGTACTGAATGATAAGGATCAAGACAACCGATTGGAAGAGGTGTAAGAAGCACAGGGGATTCCAAAAGAGAGTGTATTTGGGAAGTAAATGGTTATTTGCAATGGAGAAAATATCTCAAAATAAGCCAAAAGCCGGTCTAAAGCTGGACTCACACTTGTAATCCTAGCTTCTCAGAAGGCTAAGATCTGAAGATTGAAGTTCAAAGCCAGCCCAGGCAAGAAAGTCGGTGAGACTCTCATTTTCAATTAATCACCAAAAAGACAAAAGTAGAAGCATGGCTCCAGTGCTTTAGTACCAATCGAGTAAAAAAGTTCAAGGAAAGTACCTAGGCCCTGAGCTCAAGTCCCAGTACTGGCACCAAAAGAAAAGTTTTAAAAAAACAAAAAGCAGGGGGCTGGGAAGGTGGCTCAGTGGTAAAGTGCTTGCCTTGCATGCATGAGGCCCTGGGTTCAATTCCCCAGCACCACATAAGCAGAAGAAAAAAGCCTGAAGTGGTGCTGTGGCTCAAGTGGTAGGGTGCTAGCCTTGAGCTGAAAAGCTAAGGGACAGCGCCCAGGCCCAGAGTTCAGGCCCCATGACTGGACCCCCCCCCCCCCAAAAAAAGCAGATCTGAGAACAATTGTATAGTTTAGAATGTGTAAGACCACTATACCTTATTTCAGCATATAGAAAATATATACAGTTTTCAAGTTGTTCATATTTTTAATAAACCTAATGGCAGCAATAGCAGCAGCTATCTATACTGCCAGAAGAGAAAGGAATCCCTCAGGAACAATTAAATTTACAAGGTAATTGGAAACTATCAGATGATACCTCCCATAAAAAATCATGTTGAACTTACAGCCTAGGTTTACTGAGACCTTAGGAGACTACGCAAGAGATGTCTTGGGAATTTAGCCCCCAACTAAGAAAGTCCACATCATTAAGACAATTTTAAATAACTGCTGACCACATGCTTCCCTCTAAAACATTGCAAAGGAACAAGTCACTTAAGAGGCCCAGTACCATTATGTACAGTGCTATTATTGAATGATTCCTACAGAGGGCTAGCTTTCTGTGATAATCAGCTATTTACAAGTCCTCAAGTTCCCGCTCATACCTTCCTTTGCTCCAAAACATCCAGAAACGAGATTGTATGTGGTATTGGAGATGACTCTTCCTATTCAATCAAATGCTACTTTGGTTGACATTAGAAAGAATCTTCTCCTATTATTAATGTTGCCATGACTTAGACAAGCACTGAGAATGAGGCCAGTGCAGTATCTGGCAGTATACAAGGTCTGAAGGTGAGAAAATCCAGCCTCAAGCTTTGACTCCAGCTGCAGGGCCCCAGCTCGGGATTCATACAGAACCCCAGGTCACCACCACTCACCTGGTCATGGTGAGACACATCCCTCACGCTGCAGCCAAGATGCAAATATGATTCCATCTCTTCCCCAGTTCAACAATGCAATGGCTCACCATGCCACTCAGGGTGAAGTCCAAACTCCATGAAGTTTATAAGGGGCCCTCTAACTGCCTGAATCCACTTTGCACGTCCTCAGAATTCAGCATGCCTTTTTCTCTCCTGCCCTTTGTCCTCTGCCTAGAGCACACACCTTTCCCTTCACCTGGACTACTCCTGTTTTCCTCTTTTTTTTTTTAAATTATGAGCTATATCATAAAAGTAGAAATTGCATGGAACATAAATAGATTTAAAAGCACAGACTTACCAAACCTCACAGATCCTCATCCTTTGTCTCTGTTTCCCCCATGATCCACAAAACTTCAACTTTTCAAGATAATTGCAATGGTTTTTCAAAGTAGTCATACCAGTTTTCACTTCTGTCAGCAGTGCATGATTTTTTTTCTAATTCTAGTTCCTAAGTTTTGGCTTATCCTAAAATTTACTCTTATCTTTAAGTATAGTAGTTGTACAAAGGGGTTTCAATTCAACCTGTCAATTTATGAGTATAATACATTTTGATCGATGTCACTCCTCCCATTGTTTTCCCCTATCTCTCCCAACCCCAGCCCTTCCCTCATAGTTCCATTTTTCACATATATACATTGAATAGTATGACTATATTCTCCCACCTTTCCTCTCTTTGTTCATTTATCCCTTTCCCCTTAATCTGTTAGCATCTGTTCCTCCTCCACCATTGCAGTAATCCTACTTGTTGCATGTACAAGACAGATGTGAAAAGAACTAGTATCCCCTCTGGACCCATTGCTCCATTAGGTCTGAGGCCCTGTCCCTCAGGCTGCTCTCAATCAGTGACTAAGCATCACGGAGCTGTGAAACCAAACTCCTTTCTGTCGCACACACAACACTGCTCTGAAGAAGAATGCGGTCTGGAGAATATATGAGGAAACTACAAACTCAACAGTAAGAAAACAACTCAAATTTGAAAATGGGCAAAAATATCCAGGCATATCATCGAAGAAGATCACAGATAACTCTGCTATGGATGGCATATAACTCATAAAAAGATGCTCAACATCATTAATGATAAGAAAATGAAATTTTAAACTGTAATGGCATGTCCCTACATGTCTATTATAATGGTTCAAGTTAAAAAAGATTCAAAAGATCAAGCATTGGGAAAATGTAGCAACTGAAACACACATAGGCTGCAGATAGGAATGTAAAATACTGTGATCATATGTGTATCTACATATTCTATTACATTACATTCCTTACATACATTACAGTATTCTATTACATTACATTCCTATTCCTAGATGCTTAAAACAACACAAATTTAAAAATCTGCCTGTATAAAGAACTATACAAAATGTTCACAAGTCCTTTATATGCACTAGTCAAAACCTAAACTAACTGACCATGGTAAGTTCTGTGATTACAGGCATGACCCACTGGTACCTAGCTGTCACTTTCTATTTCTAATGTCTGAGGAAGGCTTTTATAATACAGAAGACCACTTTTTGCTACTTGTTTTGATTAATAATCAAATTGCTGAAGCCATACTACTGAAAACCTAGGTTATTCTAGGTTATTCTAAATCTTTATATTTAACTCACATCTTATCCTTCCTTATATCTAGTCATTTCTAAATCAAAATGAGGCTAATCACTTTAATTTTTCTGTAACTAATGTTGAAATAATTCTTTGTCATAGTAAATTCTCCTAAACAATTAACTCTATTTATAAAACTATTATTTAGTTTCCTAAAATATTTTGAATATCTTTGAAATTAAAATATAGCTGATTCTCTAAAACACTTCAAACACCTGACATAACAAACCTATAAGCCTGACAAGTGAGATCTTTCTAAGCAATTTCTCAGCAATTACTGAAATTCAATAAATCTAGTAAAAGAATTTTTTCTCAAGACTGATGGTAGGTAATTGACAACCATTTTCACTCTTTTTATTTTTAGTTAAAACCTCTGACTTTCCATTAGATCATTGCTTTTTCAACCACACTACATTTCCCAGACTCCTTTGTATCTAGCTGTGATCATGCGGCTTACTGTGGGCAAGTGCAATGTGAGCAGATAACCAGCTCATCTTGGTTGCAGGGATTCTCTTTTTTTCTTCACATTCCTTTGGTGTAGGAGTGAGCCACCATCAACCTTTTTGCTGAAGATGACACCCAAACCTATGAAAAGTCAAAGGAAAGAAGGAACTGATTCTTTATAAGACTTGAAATTCCTTAGAAGGCTTGAAACTTGGCTTCCAGCTCTAGACCACTGATACTTAACATTGCATGAAAGTAAACTATGATTTGTGAGCCAAAGGATTAATCTATACCCTGCTAATACAGAATTCAGTCTTCATAAACTTCAATAACTACATTGTCTTAAATGTTTCAAATTAAAATTTCAAGTCTACTATATTAGATTGCCATTACATTTTCAAGCTCTTTGGTTAACATAAGATAGAGTAATAATTAAAACTTACTCTTGAGCTTATTACAAGAGGAATATGTTTTAGTCTATTTTGTGCTGTGATAACAAAATACGTAGAAACAGGATGTTCATAATGAACACAATTTCTTACAGTTCTGGAGGCTGAAAACTCCAAAATTAAGAGTTTGGTATTTAGTGAGGTCCATCTTGCTGGATGACCTACTGATGGAAAGCAAAAGGGCCACCTAGGAGTTGAAGAGAGACCAAACTTGTCCGTGTGTGTGTGTGTGTGTGTGTGTGTGTGTGTGTGTGTGTGTATGTGTGTGTGTGTGTGTGTGTGTGTGTGTGTGTGTTGCTAGAGACTAAATTTAGGGGCTTGCACATGCAAAGCAAGTATTCTATCACTATACCCCAATCCCTAAACTTGCTATATCTTTTTTGGGGAAGGGGGTCCAGTCGTGGGACTGAACTCTGGCCTTGGACACTGTCCCTCAGCTCTTCAGCTCAAGGCTAGCACTCTACCACTTGAGCCACAGCGCCACTTCTGGCTTTTTTTCTTTTTGCTTATGTGGTGCTGAGGAATCGAACCCGGGGCCTCATGTATGCAAGGCAAACACTCTACCACTGAGCCACCTTCCCAGCCCGCTATTTCTTAAAGAAATCACTCTATAACATCATTAATCCATATATAAGGGCAGAGCTGGCAAGGCTTAAATATCTCTTCCATCTCCCAACACTGTCACTGGAAATTGAATCTCCAATATACACTTTGGGGTGTTGCATTCAAACTATGGCAGATAATTATTGTTCACTGAGTCTAAGATTTAAGATACAACATTACTTGGATATCATTAAGATATAATAAATCCTGGTAACACTGGGTGCTGGTGGCTCAGGTCTATAATCAGGAAGCTGAGATCTGAGGATCACATTTTGAAACCAGCTGGGGCAGAAAGTCCATGAGACTCCTTTATCCAATTAACTACCCAAAAACTGGAAGTGAAGCCGTGGGAGCCGGAAGTGGAGCTGTGGCTCAAGTGGTAGAGTGCTAGCCTTGAGCACAAAAGCTCAGGGACAGTGCCCAGATCCTGGGTTCAAGCCCGTGACTGACAAAAAAAAAAATACTGACAACTATAATTACTGATGCATATGTTTTTAAAAATATATTCTACTTTCCAAGATGATAAAATATAAAACATCATCTCTTAGAATCAATACAATATGGCAGTACTCTGGTTTTGATTCAGCTCACCATTGCCTCTACATTGATCTCTACATTTTCCTGGGATGACAGCCATGCACTCAACTCAAGGAAGAGACTTGCTACTTGAATCTACCTTTGGAAGATTCAGGACCTTGATGCAGTTATAGATTTAAGTTCTTGGTAGAGAAATGAAGACCAGATCTGGAATCAGGTACTTTGTACTTCCAGAATGAGTGTCCAAGTACAGCCATGAATATTAGAGTCAGAATAGTTAAGTTGAAACATGTCTGCTGTGACAAGACAGGACCAGGGTACCCCCATCTTCTACCTGATATTTAGTTTCATAATAGTATGCTACACGTTTTTAAATGACTTTCAAGCTTCATCATTTGTCAATATTAATTGACACCTCTGTCAACTTTTTATCACCAGGCTTCAGTAGGAAGATGCTACAAATACACTCTACCTACTCCTCCAAACACATATGATGCATGGATAGTCTTTTGCTATAAGGCTAGGATTTTTATAAATATTTTCTATTTTATCATATCTTGATGATTATTACTATATTGGTAGAAATGTTTATCTTGAAAAGGAAAAAACTAACAGAGATTTATCATAGGATTTTAGAATAAATCCTCAAACTCCAGGAACAGGATGTAGACGGAGGAGGAGGGGCAGTCCTAAGGAATTAGATGTGACAGTCTGGGTTTCTTGGGGTTCTACCTATGTTGTGTTAGTGAAGAGTGATATTACCTCACCTTCCCACTCCTTCCAGGGCTCAATGCTTTTCCATGCCCACCATGGAAGATGCCATCCCACACACTGAGTGCCTTGGGATAAATGTGCTCAGGATGTGAGCTAAGTAATGACTGTCTGACCATCTCAGGGGCTGAGAGGGGATGATGATTCTTGCCTGATGAAACTGACCCTCTCTGATCAAGAGGGGGAAGGTTTACGTGCCCGACTCATGAAAAGAGGAACTCTGTGTGCTCTACAGTAAGTTTTTGGTAGCCATTTGCCGTCCTTACTACAAAGGGAGCCTAGGGGGCCCAGTCTTTTAAATGAAAATTTGCTTCAGATCATCAAGCGCTGCTTGACTCTCGCTCCTCAGATGTCCACTCTTCCCATGGCTAGAGAAACTTGAGTTCATCTGAAGATTCAGTGGCACCCTAAGAGCTGGGAAAAAGCTGACCTTATACAAGCAGACACGATTTAAGGAATTCTATTTTGGCTCCTTGAACTCGGCAACAAGTCATCCTATTGCTGACCAGGCCGTGACCTTAAGAGTCAGATCTGATAAGTAACTCCCAGTGCTTTCCTGAGAGGAAGGGTGGACAGAAGGGCACAGGCATTAGCAGGCACTTTCCCACACTACCTCCTCCTATCCTCACATGATGGATTAGGTGAAAATTATACTCATTTTTAATGTGAAAAAGGACGAGGGTTCAAAGTATTCGGTTCAAAGTATTTCTTTCCAACTGGCTAATAATGAAGAAGACTTCACACCCCCTGAGTCCAAAGTTCCCACTCTGAAGACAGCTGTAATAATTTAATTTCTTCATTATGACTGAATGATCTTCCTCCATAGTGTACGTGTGTGTATATGTGTGTGTGTGTGTGTACATATCTATGTGTGTATGTATGTATATGTGTGTGTATACATCACATTTTCTTGATCCATTTATCAGTTTTAGGGTATTTGGATTGTTTCCATATCTTGGCTATCATGAATGTGCTATAATAAATATGGGTGTGCACGCATCTGTATTGAATCCTAACATTGTTTCAGATACATGCCCAAGAGTGGTATCATTGCATGACTGGTTAATTCTATTTTCAGTTTTGAAGTAATCTCCATACTGATTTCCATAGAGGTTGCCCTAATTTACATTTCTACCAACAGTGGATAAGAGTTTCCTTTACCTCGACCTCCTTCCCAGCATTTGTTGTTGATTGTATTCTAGATGGCTGTTCTGACCAGAGTGAATTTTTAATGTCTTTTTTTTTGTGTGCATTTCCTTTAAAAACAAGGATGTCAAGTGTTTCATCATATATTTATTAGGCCCTGGGGAATTGAACCCATGGTCCTATATCTCAAAGTTTCTACCACCTGGGAGAAGACCAAGGATCCAAACCATAGGAGAGGGGAAGGCATCTACAATAATCTCCAGGAATCTAGACCATGTCATTGGACAGACACTGGTGACTTATAAGAAAATGGTGGGAGAGGGAAATTGACTTTTTTGTTTTGTTTTAGTTTTGTGAACAGTAATGTCGCCTTATGGTAGAAAATAAGCATTTGGAATCAAGTTGTGCGGGCTCCACCCATTCTGTGACATTACCCATGTCACTCATCCTCCATTCATTTCCCTCTCTGAAAATAAGGAAAGTAATAGCCTTCGCCTGCAGGCTATTGTAGAGGTAAAATTCACTTGTAAACAGACGGCATCTAAAATAGGGCCTGGTTTCCTGCCATTGGCCTTCTGCGCACAATGGCTTGGAGGTGTTGGGAGAGACTGCAGAATGTCAGCTGTGGAGCTCTCCACGTTAGTCCCATCACAGTTGAGTCCTGACCCCTGGTGTAGAGGGGCGTTTAGTAAGCACGTGGTGACCGATGAAGGCAGGGATTCCTCCACAGGCACTGGAGATAGGAATCTCTGAGTTGGGGTAATGTCAAAAGCTGAAACTGAGACCAGGCACTGGTAGCCATCCCTGTAATCCTGCCTACTCAAGAGGCTGAGATCTGAGGATCATGGTTCAAAGCCAGACCAAATGTGAGATCCTTAGGTCCAAGTAACCACCAAAAAGCCAGGAGTGGAGGTGTGGTTCAAGTACTAGAGCACTAGCCTGGAGCACAAAAACTCAGGGACACCACCCAGGCTCTAGGACTAGTGTTAAAAAAGAAGAGGAGGAGGAGGAGGAGGAGGAGGAGGGGGAAGAGGAAGAGGAGGAAGAGGAGGAGGAGGAGGAGGAGGAGGTGGTGGAGGAAGAGGAGGAGGAGGCGGAGGAGGAGAAGGAGGAGGAGGAGGAGGAAGAAAAGGAGGAGAAGGAGGAGGAGGAGGAGGAAGAGGAAGAAGAAAAGAAACTTATCACACTAGGTACTTAAAGATTGTTATTTATGGGGCTGGGAAGGTGGCTCAGTGGTAGAGTGCTTGCCTTGCATGCATGAGGCCCTGGGTTCGATTCCTCAGCACCACGTAAGCAAAATGAAAAAAGCCAGATGTGGTGCTGTGGCTCAAGTGGTAGAGCGCTAGCCTTGAGCTGAAGAGACTCAGCTGAGGGACAGTGCCCAGGCCCAGAGTTCAGGCCCCACGACAGGACCCAAAAAAAAATTTTTTTAGAGATTGTTATTTATGTTATATGTATTTTTCTTTTTTTTTTTGGGGGGGGGGGGGGTCCGGTCGTGGGGCCTGAACGCTGGGCCTGGGCGCTGTCCCTCAGCTCTTCAGCTCAAGGCTAGCGCTCTACCACTTGAGCTACAGTGCCACTTCCGGCTTTTTTCTTATGTGGTGCTGAGGAACCGAACCCAGGGCCTCAGGCATGTAAGGAAAGCGCTCTACCACTGAGCCAACTTCCCAGCCCCTGTTATATGTATTTTTCACCTTACTGCAGAAAATTTGCAAAAATGAAAAAAAGTCTGTAATACCACAATCTGAGCAAAGCCACAATTGTCTCTTCAGACATTTCTGTCTATATATATATATATATACATATATATATATATAAAAAATATGTTTATATGTTTATTTTTGTTATTGGAATTACTGTGTTCATATGACTATGTATTCCATCTTTTCCTCTTGATATCAAATCATGAGGATGTCCACTTCTTTGTGCATGTAGTGAGATTACTGGGGTTGGAACTTAGTGCCTCACACTTGCTAGGCAAGTTCTCTGCTATCTGAGCTATGTTCTCCACTCTTATTTTTACTGCATTTATTCAGATAGGGTCTCACATTTTTGCTGAGGCCCATTTCAAACCTATATCCCTGATTCATTGAGCTAAGGGGTCTCTCCCTCCCTCCCTCCCCCCCCCCCCTCCTCCCTTTCTCCTTTCCCCTTCTCCTCCCATACCTGGGCTGAACTGGAACTGCTATCTTCCTATCTCTGCCTCCCAAGTAGCTGGCATTACAGAGCCACCACGCCCAGCCTGATGACCCTATTCCTAACAAACCTTCCTATTATTTAAAACTGCTATAGCAGGCACACTATTTAATCTTTCCCTGGATCTTGGACATTTCACTTCCTACTTTTTCATACTCCTTTTTGCATAACTTATTCTTATATGAACATCTTCATATCTCATGCCACAGTGGCATTATTTTTTTTATTTATTTTCGTTTTCTAAAAAGGGGCAGAGGCAGTTGAGAGGAACATGAGAAACAGGGGAAACTAAGGCTTGAATAGCAAAGATCTTATTTCCTCAATGCCAAAAGAAGCAGCTACAACATTTCGGGGGGGGGGGGGGGGGGGGGGGGGGGGGGGGAGGCGGCGCTAGAGTAAGAGGTCAAAAGCTACAGGAAGAGGAACTCAAGATCGCTAGAAATGCACGGCTTGTGTGGGGCCCTGTGCCAAGAGAAAGTGAGTCATACATCTAGATGTGAGCTTGCCCGCCTGTGTGTGGGGCCTCGGGCAGCACCACACAGCCCATTGCTCAGGTGCCACACCGAAGAAACCAGCAGGCAGAAGTCCAGACAAGGACAGGTGAAGGCCAGCAGCCCAGAGGCATAATATTGAAAGAAGCTGGGAGGTGGCATGGAAAGTTACTACTCAAAGGCAGAAACGCCCTCATTCTCAGGGTTCCTGGAAGCCGCCCCACCCTGCACCCTATTAAATGAGGAATTTCAGCACCCACTTCCTGCCAGGTTCTAATCTGCCTGCCTCAGCCCATGCCTCTCCTTCTTCTATTCTGGGTTTCATCTTTTAACCTTCAACCTTAGGGCCTCTCTGTCTCCCTACAAGGTGAAAATGACAAGGTCCTTTCACCTCTGACAAATGGATCTCCCAAACCACGATTTTGGTTCCATCACCACCAGCTAGACGCTGTGAATCCTCCTCCCACGTCTCCAGGACCACCACAACCCCTGCCCTGGGTCTTGTCTTACACTAACTGGTTTTGGTCAATGCCTAGGCTCTTCTGATGTATGTGTCTGTCATCACACACCTCTGTCCAGGCTCACAATTTGACTGACTGCTTGACATTTCTCCCTTGGACTCAGGAAGCAGATGAGCTCTTTCCAGGTAGGCCATACCTCCTCCCACACCTGAGCCACACCACTGCAAATCCAGAAATGTGCACACTTCCACCACATTGCACATTACATAGCTTTTCCACCTGCCCTGCCCTTCCACCTCGCTCCCCACGGGCCTCACACGCACTGCCACAGTCGGCACTGTACCTGCGTGCTCACTTCGCCTGTGAGACTCCCTTCCCAGCTGCAATAGAATCAGGTTACTTCCTTGTTTGAAACCTTCATGTGTCTCCTGCAGCAAACCATTCATTCCTTCACGCGCTCATTCAACCAATATGTACGCTGGGAAAATAGAGCAGACAGGGGGCAAATGTTACCCATTGATACGCAAGGTTGGCTAGGTAATGGCTCCTCCCTCCACAGCCAGCGAGCTCTCACCGTTGACCACCTGTGCCACACAGCTCATGGCCCTGACTTGGACACATGGTCCCTGCCTTGGACACATCGCTTCCTCAACCTTGTCCCTTGTCCTTCCGTAGGTAACTGTGATTCTTCCCAACTCAGCAACTCATCAAACCTTGTCCTTCCGTAGGTAACTGTGATTCTTCCCAACTCAGCAACTCATCAAAAGCCCTCTGTAAGGTCTTTCCCCAACTCCATCTAGATTTCCTTCCTCTACACCACCAGCACCTGTGTTTACTCTGGTCACATTTACTATACGGTGTGGTATTTGCCTGCTTTCCCTTTCTCACCTACCACCCAGACACACACACCTAGACACACATCTGCGACCCCAAGAAATTCCATTTTCAAAGGGAAATCTTGAGGGTTTGATGTTTGTTACAGTTTCCCCCCCTTGATAATCTGTATAGACGTATCAAAGTTCTCTTCCATAACTAATTTTCTAAGATTTTTCTTAAACAAATGATTAATTTTATCAAAAGATTTTTCTTGGATGGACTTAGAACACATCATGTTAAGTGCAGTAAGCCAAGCTCAGAGAGACAAAACAGCATATGTTTTCTCATATGCAGAAGCTAGATCTAAAATACACCAGGACATAACAAGGTAGACCAGCCTCAAGGCATTCCTATCCAGTGAGATCAAAGGAGAACACTCTCGGGAGAGAAATAGAAAGGTGCAATGCCATGTATATATGACCATACAACATAGCATTTGTAGAAATGAACTCCAGGAAATGGAAACAAGAGGTTTTTATCTTTTTTGCTGTTTTTCTTTTCTTTTTTTGTTCTGTTTCTTCAGTTATGTCTTTGGAAGTATAAGGGGAGACACAGAAATGGAGGGACAAAGGGTAGAAAAAAGTGCAGCAATGGTACTCACTGGACACTATGTTGAAAATGGACTATACAACTGTTGGGTGGAGGATGGGAGGGAAAAATGGAGAGAGCGAGGGAAGGAGTAACGTCGAAAAAGAGATGGACTCTTTACTTGACTTAAGTAACTGTAAGCTTCCTGCGCATCACCTTTAAAATAACAATTAAAAATAAAAAAGTATTTTTCTGCATCTCTGGGATAGTCATCATTTATTTTGCTAATTTGCTGAACTGCACACCAGTTAATTTTTTAAATGTTATTTCTGCAATAAATTTAACTTAGTTGTGGCACTATCTTTTTACATGGCTGGGTGTGATTGGCTGGGGTTAGGGATTTTTGCTTGTGAGTGGTCGGGTAGGAGTCATGTGGTTTTCTTTTCTCCTCTCATAATATCCCTGGTGTGTTTTGACATTAAGGATATACGTGGGGGTATTCACCTTTTTCAACTTTTTCTATTTTCTATGATTGCTTGTGTAGCTTCCTATAATTTCTTCTCTAAATATTTGCTAGCATTGTTTGTTGAAACATTCAGGATCTTTTTGTTGTTAAGAGAAGGTTTTAAACAATGGGTTCAGTTTTTCTAGCAGTATTTCAGGTCATCTGTTTTTCTTGAGTCTATTTTGGTAAGTGGAGTTTTTCTAGGAAGTTCCCATTTCCCATTCTCATTTTACTTTTTACAAAGTTGCCTCATTCATCTCCTTTTGTCTTTAGACTATCTATAGAATCCATCGTGTCCCTTGGTTTTCAAATTCCCACTCTGATCTACTCAAAATGTAATCAGGTTTAGCACTTGACTGACAGGCAAAATCTCTTGATTGTGTCTGTCATCTAGAAATGCAGACCTTACATCACTGTCTTTTCAAAGACAATTTCTCCTTCAAGACTGTCCATGAGCTATCATAGAACTGCATAGAACTTGGTGGCTATCAGCCCATATTTCACTGATTCCCTTGTCCTGTGATACCAATATTTTAAATATGTAGATGCCAACTTGTTCTTATACATAGTTTTGTTTGCTTGTTTTGCCTTCCCCACCAAATTATTTGTTTTCTGATTAAGGACAAAGACATTTCCAAACTTATCATCACAGTTTCATCATGGTAATTACACAATTTTAAAAAAGCCATACTTCCACCAGGTGTTGGTGGTTTATACCTGTAATCTGAGCTATGCAAGATGCTGTGATCTGAGGATAGAGGCTCAAAGTCAGCTCAGACAGACAAATACTTCCAGTTAATCATCACAAAGGAGGTATGGCTCAAGTGGTAGAATTCCAGCTGTGAGAAAAACAAACAAACAACAACAAGAGCATGAGATGTTGATTTCAAGCCCCAGTACCGCAACAAAAAAATCATTAAAAAAATCACAATTTAAACTGGACATGAGAGTACACACCTATACCAACACTCTGGAGGCTGAAGCAGGAGGATTATGAAAGAGAATCTTGGCTACCTCATAAGTTAGAGGCCAGCCTAGTAAGTCTGAGACTATTGACATAGCAAGATTCTGTCTCAAAAAAAAAATCAGGATTTGGAGGTAATCAGTTCATCCTATGGTACATGTAAATTCAATGTTGTAGAAATGACCTGACCAAGAAGTTAAGAAAAAATTGTTTTATTTATGTATTGTTGTTATACTTGTATTATGATCCCAGGGCCTTGAAATTGCTAGGCAGGTGCCCTATCACTTGAGTTGTGATCCATGCCTAAGTAAATGTGTGTGTGTGTGTGTGTGTGTGTGTGGTACACACATACATTTGCAAACCTCCTAGACATATATATGTATATATATATCATCAAACTATATATAGGAAAATAACATCCTAAGAACAAATTAGAGCACTATTAATACTGTTCACATGTCAGAGCCCATTAACCACAAAAGAGCATCTCCCTTTGATGCCAGCCACTATTGTAGACTCTGGTGTCATAAAAATGAAGGTCTGAATTTAATATGCTCCCATAGTAGAAGTGACACTATGCTGTTATAGTTCATAGTAAACTATACAAAGGGAAATGAGCAAATTTTTAAAAAATCAAAAATGACTTCTAAGGAAAGCTCCAACCTTTTATTATGAACTGATAAATATTGTGCAGTATGGATTAAGTTAAAGGAAAGATGCAGGAGACCTTGTGCTATGCTCTGGTGCACAACTCATATGCAACAGGACTTAGAGAGCTACTTAGAGAGCTGCTTGCAGAGGGGAAAAATTTGTAACAACACTGGGAAGGGTGCAGAAAATATAAGAGGTCTCCCCAAAATTCTACTTTTCATCATCCTTTATTCTTGTGAAGATTTTACATCCTAAAAGCAATCTAGAAATATAAAGAAGATACCTTGAATTTTTTTAAGACCATCAAAGCCAGACACCAGAGGTTCATGGCTGCCAGCCTAGCTACTCAGGAGGATGTGTGATCTGAAGACCAAGGTTTGAAGCCAGCCAAGGCAGGAAAATGGAGACGTCTATCTCTAAGTAACCACCAAAAAGGCAGAAGAGGAGCTATGACTCAAGTGATAGAGTACTATCCTTGAGCAAAAATAGCACAGGGACAGTGGCTAAGCCCTGAGTTCAAGTCCCAGTACCAGTACACACACAAAGAAGTTATTTGCTATTTGGAAGCACCAAATAGCAAAATGAATGATTCTGAACAAAAATGTATAACTAACCTTAAAACGTCTCCAGAAATGAAGACTAAAGAGATGGACATTTTAAGGCTGAAATAGGAGACACAAGAGCTTTAAGAATCGGACACCTAAATGAGTTATAATAGACAATAACTCACTTGGAAGAAAAGACATTATCCAATGAATAATAAAGAATTGCCCTATACTGTACTGGAGATATGGCTCCATTGGTAGAGTGCCTGCCTAGCAAACTCAAAGCCCGGAGTTCAAACCTCAGCATTATAAAATGACAAAAACTCCTCAAGAGAGACTTGCATCAAAGGACCCACTCACTGAATATGAAGCAGAAATATGAAAGAAGTTGGGTGCCAGTGGCTCATACCTATAATCCTAGTGACTCAAGTAGTTGACATCTGAGGATCACAAAGCCAGCCTGGGCAGGAAAGTCCATGAGACTCTTATCTCCATTTAACCACCAAAACACCAGAAGAGTCCAAGCCCAGTGACCATCCCCCCAAAATAGAACATTGAACATTCCTTCAACTCTTTCTAAGAATTTCACCCAAGGATATATGCTCTAAGCCAATTTTTTAAAACTCAGAATTAAAACATCAAAAACATCTAGAACATAACAGCAATATTAATAGCCCACATTTATTGAGAGCTTGCTCTCATACAGCTACTGTTTGAAACATCCTAATATATTGTAGCTCATTTTATCTTTCAAATATCATCAAGGCTAGGTACTATTATTATTCCCACTATGCAGACGATGAAACTGAGACAGGAATAATCTGCTCAAGGGCTGGTTTTTGTGCTCAGGATTAATTTCACAGTCAATATTTGGACCCATCTCTTTACACTGATGGTAAACACCATCAATCTCCATCCGGCACTACTCTAGGCACGGGAGTTACAGGGATAGGTCAAATAGAAAAACTCCCCATCATCACCACATTTGCATTCTTGTGTCCCCAGGCAGCTGTAAAGTAAACACATACTGGGTGGGAGAAGTTGCTGTTAGAGGTGAGAAGGCTTTTGGAGGTTGGAGGGTCAGCAGGCATCTCTGAGGTAAGAGAGGCCACCACGAGAGAAAGTATGGACAATGTTCCAAGTAACATCAGGGCAGAGGCAACCTCAGAAAATTCTAGAAACAATAAAGCCAATGGGGCAGGAGTCCAATCAGTGAAAGGAGAATGGGAAATAAAGTGGGAAGAGGTACTCAGGATCCAGAGCACCTGAGGTGTGTAGGCCATGGGAAAGACTTGGCGTGACTTCCAGTGTAATGAGACACAACAGGAAAGATGACCACTGTGTCTTTAGTTTGGAAACAAAGGTGTAGAGAAGAATAAAACAGTTGAGTTTATTGGGGTCCTTCAGGAGAAATGGGATGGAATGGGATGAGATTGAGGAAATAGAAGAAACAACAGTGTATGCTAGGGATTGAACATGGGGGAAAGACAGGACTGAAATTGGATTCTAGGTTTTCTGATCTGAGCAAGTAGGTAATGAAAGTAACTAATATTCACAATGAGGGTGGAAATCAGAACTAGAGCCTGTGGGAAGAGAACCAAGATTCTGATTTGGGACTTGGTAAGTGTGAGATACCCATTGGCATTCCAAGTAGAGACAACAAATCAACAGATGATGTTCAGGGGAGAGGGTAGGATGAGAGATATAAATTTGAAATTAATCTGTGAAGGGTGGTATTTGAGACCTCGGGACCCTATGTGGTCTGCTAAAGTGAGATAAATGAAAAGAGAACTGAAGTGTCAGTCCTGGAACCCTCAAATGTTTATGGGTTAGGAAGAAAAGAAGAATCAAACACATTAAGGAGAGGGAATCTCTCAGAGGTGAAAGAACACTGAAATTATGTGGCGTCCTTGAAGTCACGGGAGGAAAGTGGCTTTGAGTAGAAAAAAAAATCAATGGTATCCTTGTGCTGCTTAATTCAGAATTGTTTAAAAAGGAAGCTAAAAATAGAAGGCATAATGTTAAAAGAAATTCTAAACAGTCTGAGAGGTAATTTAAGGTAGTACTTAAGGACTTGGGGAAAACAAGATATAGAACAAACATGGAACATGGTACTTACAAGGCAACATGGTACTTAGAATGCAACAAGTAATAATTACTCACTTCTATTATCATCAACAACAATGAAATCTAGGTTGCTGAAAAGCTAGTAGGAGAAGCAAAGTATGCTAAACTTCCTATGTTGCGGAAATGATAGGAGGGAATATAGTTATATATGCTGTTTAATTCTAATGGAATACACAATGTGAGTTAAAATTTCATTACAAACTTAAAAATATCGAATAGAACGTAGTGTTTTCACCTATTTCTTTCTCTTTTTAAAAAATTTAACATTTACCTTTTCTTTGTGCCAGCCCTGGGGCTTTAACTTAAGGCCTGGGTTCTGTTCCTTAGCTATTCCCCCTCAGGGCTGGTACTCTACCAACTCTTTGTAGTTAATTGGAGACAAGAGGCTCATAGACTTTCCTGCTCAGACTGGCTTCAAACTACGATCCTTAGAGCCCAGTCTCCTGAGTAGCCAGGATTACACACATGAGCCACTGGCACCTGGAAAATTTTATTTCTGAAAGCATACAATTCTGCATGTTTCTGGATATTCACAAAACAATGCAAACATGCTCCTGATTTTACTTTAATCCTCACAGAATGAACTCGCTTAGCAGTTACCTCCCATTTCTCCCTTCTCCTTTCTCTCAAGGCCCTCAAGAGCCTCAGATCTTTTTTAGTCTCTATGGATTTGCCTAGTCTGGATATTTCATATTTCATGTGAGGATAAGATATGTAACCTTTGATGTCTGCCTCCTTCAGCATTTTCTTGTATGATAGTGAGTATTGGTCGCAGAGAGTCACATTTTACTATACAAGTACTCTATCACTTGAACCATACCTACAGTCCTCCTGCATTTAGCTTGCTTTTCAGATAGAATATCCCCACTATTTTGCCTGGCTTGGCCAAAGGCGATGGTCCTCCTACCTCTTCTTCCTAAGTACCTGATGACAAGTGAGGGTTTTCTTAGATATTTCCTGAACATGTAAATGGCCCTACACATTTACATGACTCCCAGGAAAATGTTAGATTTTTTTTAAAAAAAAAATTGCCAGTCCTAGGGCTTGAACTCTTGAGGATGGATACTATTCTTGAGCTTTTTTGCTCAAAGCTAGTAAGTACTGTACCATTTGAGCCAGATCTACTTCTAGCCTTTTAGGCTTAATTGGAGATAAGAGTCTCACAGAGGGGCTGGGAAGGTGGCTCAGTGGTAGAGCGCTTGCCTTGCATGCATGAGGTCCTGGGTTCAATTCCTCAGCACCACATAAGCAAAAAAGCTGGAAGTGGCGCTGCTGTGTCTGAGGGGCCATGCCCAGGCCCACAGTTCAGGCCTCTCAACAGACAAAAAAAAAAAAAAAAAAAAGAGTCTCACAGACTTTCTTGCTGGATGGTTTTGAGCTACGATCCTCAGATCTCAGCCTCCTAAGTAGCTAGGATCATAGAGGCTAGCCACCAGCACCCAACAAATATTAGAATTTTTTTGAAGTTCATCTTACCCCCTTGCTTTGGCTTAGGGTTAGAAAACTGTTTGTCCTAACTATAATACACCACCTCAAGTGTCTGCAATGTTCA